AAGCTGCTCCTTGTCAGCAACCAGCCCCTAGGATCTGACTTTTTTTGCTTTTACCACCATAGTTAAACAGCTAAACCTGAAATTTTGCAAGAGGAGGCTCCTGGGCAGACTGGTGAGGAAGGCAAGCCAGCAGCCTGGTGACAAGCAGAAGCCCTGAGCAGGAGCCATTGCTGCTGCACCTTGGCACCCAGCACGGGGCCAGCTCCTGGGTAAAGAGGGGGTCTATAGGTGGGGGTCCGCAGTGACTAAGCATGAGGTTCAGCTGCCCAAACACCAGCGCCCTGGGTTGGGGGGTACCCTGCACAGCCTAGAGCTGCCACTCCAAGGGTGCCAGTTGTCTGCAAGTCCCACATCACATCTGCCACAGCATGAGAGGCAGATAATGAGACCGAGAGGCAGATAATGCATATGTCCCCACTATCATGCTCTCACCCTTAAAACAAGGTGGCTGGATCCAAACTGTGTATTTGTCATGGTTCTTGGCCCCGGCTAATGTCCAAATTGTGTCTGAAGAACACCTGGAAGAGTGCTACTGGTCCAGGCCAAACTCGTGCTGGTGAGCGTGCTGACAATTTCATCCTGTGGATCAGCAAGTTCCTGTACCTGGGAACACTCAGGAGTGCTGTGTAAATTACTAGCAGAAGATGTAGCCCACAGGGTGAGCTGAATCACGGTTCCCCTGGCTTATCTGCATCTCATTTGGCTATAACGGAAGCCGAGATGCTCAGATCACCTGGAGACACTAAAGCTTAGGTGTCTTAATCTGCAGGTTCAACCCCAGCTTCATTGTCAACTTATTAACCTGGGTGTCGGCACGATAGCACTGAGCGTTAACGTAAAGCAAAACGCTTTCATGTGTTTTAAATTAATGGGAGGGATTTTTGGCTTACAGAACACAGCAGAAAGGGAGGCTGAGAGGCAGCACGTCAAGGCGTCTGCTCTGGGAGCAATACAGAATGAAAGCAACTAGAATAAACAGGAAAATTAACAGAGAAATGTTAACCCTTTCCCAGTGTAACCATCAAAAGGGTTACAATTGGAACACAGCAGCACATTGTGCATGCCCCATCCCTGGAGGGGTTCAAGGCCAGGCTGGATGAGGCTTTGGGCAACCTGGGCTGGTGGGAGGTGTCCCTGCCCATGGCAGGGGGATGGAACTCGATGATCTAGAAGGTCCCTTCCAACCCAAACCATTCTGTGATTCTATTAATTTCTCTTTTATATGTATTTGGATCGTATTTGGGTAAAGGAGTTGGGGTAAAAGAAATTAATCACAAAAGCCTCCAGCAGGATCAAAGCCTGCAAGTACTCACGCATAGGAACAGCCACGTAGAACAGGCTGTCTGCTGCCACTGCCTGCCACCACTGCTTCCACTCTGTGCAGCAACAATATTTTGCAGAGCTGAGCGCAATCTGAGACAGCCAAAAAACTGTATCACACATCTTGGATACTGCAGGTGATGGCACAGCCAGTCCCATGCCCTTTGGGGCTGCCCAGCAGTGTAGAAACAGAGAAATGAAATCCCTTCAGGTCAGCTAGTTCATTGTTTCTCAACCTGTATTTTACGGTCCACAACAGCCTGGGAGACATCAACAATGTTCGGTGAGACAACTGCAAAAAAATAATTAAATGAAAATGCACACACATAGTCCCTGAATGCATGCAAATAAAATCAGGAAGAACAAAATAAACAATGAGCATCCAAAGCTTAGTAGAATCTTTATTAATTTGTAAAAGAAAACCCCTTTAGCAATGGCACATAAAGCAACGTGTTCTGCTTTCCCAGGTTAGATGGTCCTTCAGTGTCAAAAGGCTGAGAAACACTGAGCTAGTTCATCTGCTGCAAGGCAGGATCAACTCTACTTAATCCATTCCTGACAAGTGTTTGTCTAACCTGTTCTCAAAGGACTCCAGTGATGGAGATTCCACCTCTAGGCAGGCTATTCCAGCAGGGAATTATCTGTAGCACTGGGTTTTGCTGGTGTCTAAATTGTGTCTCCATCACTGCAATTCAAGCCCGTGATTTCTCGTCCTATTCAATGTGACTACAGAGATGGGATCATTCCCTTCCTCTTTTTGGATATCTTTTGTGTGTAATTGGAAAAAAAGTTGTTACGTCTTTTCTCCATCTTCCCTATAGTGAAGGGATCATTTTCCTATGTTCTGGACCTGAGACTGTTCTCACATAAGACCTGTTCTCACAAGTATCTCCAATCGGTCCTCAGCTTTCTCAAATGCAGGGACCAGAACGGGGGGTATTTCAGACAGCCCTTTGGGATATTTGACTTTTCGACAATTATAAGACACTGTCAGTTTATATTCAGCTTGTGATCCACCACAATTCCCAGCGATGTTTTTTTTAACAGAACTGCTGCATACTTGGGTTTTCTCGTATCTGTACTTTTTGTAAATGTCATTCTTACATGAAGCACTTTTCACTTGTCCTTATCAAACTGCAGATATTTTCATTCTGATTTCTCATCTCCAAAGTTCCTGAAATCCCTCCAAGCCTGGTATCATCTGCTCCTTCCATTCCATCACCCCGATAGTACTGAAAACACTGGGCAGTTCTGGACTTAGGACAGACTTCAGCCTTTCACTTTCATAGTAAATCATTTCCAACTACGCTGCACGTGGGTTCCCAGCACACAAACCCACCCTTCAGCAGTTTCATCTGGTCCGTACTTCCTGCGAGCACTACGAGAGGCTCATGTGAACCCATGTAAAAAGTCCTGCCCAGAGCACTGTGATTTCTTGACACAGTTTCTCCCAAACTCAAAGCCCTCGAGGCTTTGCATACCACATATTATAATGCCACAGGCTTTGAAGGGAGTTAAGAGCAGCTTTTGTGCTTTCCACACCCTTCTCATGGGTATGATGGATGACAGAAGCACAAGGAGATTTAGCGCTGAAGGAGCGTGATGAGAGCTACTGATCCAGTGGCATATGAAGGGTCAGAAATGCAGCCTTTGGGAAGAAGATTCAGCATGCTTATGTGCGTTTGGAGGAAGGCTGTCTCCAAATTCTGGCTCTGTCAGTGGGGGTTCTAATGAAAACATTTTTGCCCTTTTGCCATGGTATATCCCATGGGCATTTTAAACCATCCAGCAATTTTCAAGAGGCATGTTTGTTTCTGTCAGTTACTGTCATGCTAAAGGGTGTTTTTTGGACAATAATAATTCAATTATTTTGTTTTCTTAGTGCCCATGAAATTCCTTATTATCAAAATGCACGCATGCCAACAAGTGATGGAACACAAATTTCCTGTAAAGACGAATAAGCCTTTTGAGCTTAAAATCAAAGTACTTGCCTGTAAAGACCAGTTCATATGCAAAAAAATTTCCATGATTGGCCTATTAGGCATAAAGAATAACCACCATAGTTCAAATAAAGTTACTGTGCAAGTGCTCTTTATCAAAGAGTGCTGATAAGGAACATCACTTATGTGTTTCTGTTTAGCTTGCGTATGATACGTGACCACGTAACTGGTTCTTTGGGTCCATTTATAAAGAAGTGCACAGAGCTCAACCACACAGTTCCTACCAAGCCACATGGACACACTCAGCTGAATTCACTCAGTTATTGCAATAACGTCCAGCGTCTGTATTCCTGTCTGCACAGGACACTGAGCAGATTACAGCTGCTTCTTGTAATGGCCTGTAAATGGTTTTTGCCTTACAAAAGAGAAAGCACAATGGGATATTTAAGGGGTGAGCTTAAGACTAGGGCAAATCTTGTGCCCTTGCATGCTCTGCCATCAGCTGCCTGGGTGGGTCAGTTGGAGTCGTACTCCTTTCACGCAGCCAGCTATGACTCCTTCCACGGGTTATGGAAAGAAATCGGCATCTCTAGCGGGCTGCTCTCCTATCCTACATTGAGTGAGATTAATTACCCTCTGGAAATACTGCCTTCTCTCTGTTGACTGCACAGATAGCCTGTGATGACCAAACCAGCCAGGATTAAATATTATGTTTCAGACATACACACCTGGCCGGAGAAACCCCATCCCGAATGTCTAACTTGCAATCATTTGTGGTTGGGGCAGACAAATTCTATCTCAGGTCTTTCTGTGTCTCATTTTTTCATCTGCAAAACAGAGTGACAACACTTTCCTGTCTCATGGAGGAGCTATGAAGATAACCTCAGTAAAAGATTGTGAGGTGCTCAATGATTACAGTACGAGGAGCCTCGTGTGCACTTGGGAGATAACACACTATGTATTACCAGTTTCAAAGACCTGCTAGCAGGCAACAGCAACACCTAAACATGCAGTATCGTCTTTGAAGACTTCACAGACTCTTCCCAGGGCTTCTTATCCCTTTTCAGATCATTCTGATGATGGAATATGATTTCCCAAGTTCAGAACTTATAGCATGTGGACACTAAGGGAATTTATACCTTTACTTTCCTAAAAGCAAAGCAGTTACGGCTCACTTCCACATCAGGAAAATGAAGCTGTTTTTCAAAATACGGTAAGCTTTACCTTCCCATTACAGTAATCTCTTTATCAGTTCAGAAATCTAGTTGTTTGTAAATATATATTTAAAGGGAAAAATTTACCCATTTTCCAAGCAGGGCTCTTCTTTCTTCGAATACCTATAAAAAACACACAAACAAATAAAATTGAATACTTAAAGGGGGTTCAGTGTGTCCTAAGAAAAATAGAGCTTGAAAAACAATCTTTGCAACCTACAAAATATAAACAGAATCACTGAATGGAACAGTTTAGAAGGAACTTGGGGAGATCATTTTGTCAAAACTCTCTTCTATGGTCAACTAAAGAAGGTTGCTCAGAGCCACGTCCAGCTGGGTTTTGAATATCTTTTCGGACGGAGGCTCCACAACCTTTCTGCGCAACTTGTTACAGTGCATGACCACCCTAAGAACATTTTTTCTTATGTTTAAATGGAATTTGCTGTATTTCAGTATGTGGCCATTGCCTCTTGTCTTTTCACTGGATGCCACCAAGAAGAGTCTGGAAATCAATCCATTTTCCTGGACCTCTCTACTCTCCAGGACCATATCCCATGTGATTCTTCCACAAAGATCGCTGAAGAGGTCAAAGTCTGCTCGCCTGAAGTCCAGCGCTGTGATCCTGCTATTTGTCTTGTTCTTTCCTCTCGGCATCCTGAACTCCATCATCTTCTGTTCACTGCAGCCAACGCTGTCCCTGACCTTCACATTCCCAATTGGTCCTTCCTTCTTTGTAAGTATGAGGTCCAGCAGAGCATCTTCCCTTGTTGGTTCCTCAATGACCTGTGTCAGGAAGTTATTATCAACGCACTCCTGAAACCTCCAGGACTGCACGTGCCCTGCTGTGTTGTCCTCACAGCAGATATCAGGGTGGTTACAGTTCTCCAAGAGGCTTCTTCCAGTTGTCTGAGGAAGGCCTCATCTGCTTCCTCCTGATCTTCTTCAACTCTACAGGCTGGTTCCTGTGGAAGGTTCCTTTCACTGAAGAAGACTCCCTGAAGTTCAAGGGCTATGTGTGAAGGACAGCTCTGCAGGCTGCCTGCAATGTGCTGCCTCTCATCTCCACCTCCCTCCTTTGCAGCTACTGCGCACACGATGCGCCAACATAGTGCTCTCCTCTCTTGGGCACACCGTGATGCGTGGTGTCTCATGTGCTTCAGTGAGACCAGAAGCTGGGCTTCCCATCTCTTTATCTTAGAAATTTCCGTTTTCCTGAGTTGGAGACCTTGGGTGTCTGAAAGCTCCTAGAATGGATACACCACAGTGGCTATCACAAAGCCCTGGCAATGGCTTCAATCTCAACGCAGCAAGACTGTTAGGAGTAAGACAGTGAGACCAGTCTTTGTTCCCTGGCCACTTTACAGTGACAACTAACAAGAAAGATGATCAGTATCAAAATACAGCAGAGGATTTATGATGTTGACCTTTATCCATAGGGAGCTAGACCTGCAAGCGCTAGCACGTGGCTTCCCACTACCACAAAATCAGGATTGTGACCTGGGAAGTGAGGAAATGCTGTAGATGATTTTTCCAGAAGACAGATCAAAGAGGAGAAAGCCCAGTTTATAACTGCACATAAAAACAGCTATTAACCACAACTAGGAAACCATGTTTGATATTATCAACTCCAAACGTGTTATTGCTATGACAGCCTGCAAAGAAGGTTCCTGCAGAGAAAGACACTATCAGTGCTGATGTCTGGTGCAGCAGCTGACGGCGTTAGCTCTGTCTCTCTCAGCAGGAGTGTCTCTTGCCAAGGGGTGGAAAATGACATTTCTTTTATTTGTATGTTGACAGATTTTTTTTTTTTGCTTTATTTGCATGTGGGACACTTGGCAAAGTGAAAAAAAAAACCAACCCAAAACCTAACAAGCTGAACTTGGAAAAGGATTTGCCACAAGGAAGTGATGAATAGTCAAAAAGATCTAAGTTCTGGGTTGGATAATTCAAGGGAAGCAGGGAGGTATTTATATAACCAAAAGCAATGTTAATGGTCTTTGATCAAAGACAGACACATATTTGCTTTCAGCATTCTTGGAGATACATCTGAGCCAACTCTGTCAGAAAGTTCTGCCCTACTCCAGGCACTTGGAAGCATTAATTAGCAACAAAATGGCCCAAAATTGGCATAATCATCCCCTGCCTTAATCAAGCCCATATTTATTGTCCTCTCCTCCAAGGCCTTGGAGTTATACCTATAGCATACCTAAACTGGCTGGCTTGGGATGTAGCCTGAGGCTTAGGCTGCTCCTGAGACCTGCCATCTCATATCCATGTCTTCAGGTGGTTTTAAATAAAACCAAATTCAAGGCTGCCTAGCAAACCCCTCCAGCCCTTGCTGCAAATGCCACCGGGGGCTCTTCTACTCCATGGCTGAGCTGCTGCCCACCAGAAGGCAAATCACCTCCCGACTTCCAGTCCTTCCTTAAAGGCAGCACAGCCCTGCAGTCAGCAGGACCAACGCTGAAGTCTGTCTGATTTTGCTGCAGGTGAGCAGGCTGCCCCGTCTCCTACCTGTACTTCATCCTTAACTGTAGCACGACCTTGGCATATCTAAAACCCCACCTCTGGTTTTCTGACCATGAATGCCACATAATTTGAGGTTTCCTAATTCTGGCTTCTTGACTTTGTTCTGTCCCTGCTGGTGATCCTGGCTTTAAAACAATCAGGACAGCCCATCCTGCAGTGGTAACACCCTGGATAGTCTTTTCTGCTCTAACAGCTGCTGTAAGGGCAGAAATCCACAGGTGGAGGCAGCAGGACTCAGGATGCACAACAGGTAGGAGAGAGCTGGGTCCTACCAACAACGCAGGCAAGTGTAGTCTTGAGCATGTTTGAAAATCCAGAGAAATCTACAGGAACTGCTAATGGAGTACCCCTAGGATTACCCAAAATGATGGGGTACCCCTAGGATTACCCAAAATTAGACAGATGATAGCAAATTTATGCTAAGAACTGTTCTTGGGTCTGCTCCTAACAATGGTTTAGATGGAGCTTAAACACTTCTGCCTTGGATCAGCTCTGAATTCCCACCTCTCCTGCCCCTCATTACCTATTCTCCTAATGAGTACCTTTCTTATGCCTCTCTTCTCTCCATGCTTTCATCTTCTCACTGTTTTTCACATACCTGCTATGAGATACTCTCTACAAGAAGGACATTGAGGTGTTGGAGCGTGGTCAAAGAAGGGCAATGAAGCTGGTGAAGGGTCTGGAGAACATGTCCTGTGAGAAGCAGCTCAGGGAACTGGGGTGGTTCAGTCTGGAGAAAAGGAGGCTGAGGGGAGACCTTATCACTCTCTACAACTACCTGAAAGGAGGGTGTAGCAAGGTGGGGGTCAGTCTCTATTCCCAAGTAACAAGTGGTTGGATGAGAGGAAATGGCCTCAAGTTGGACCAGGAGAGGTTTAGATTGGGTATTAAGAAAAGCTTCCTCCCTGAAAGGGTTGTCAAGCGCTGGAACAGGCTGCCCAGGGAAGGGGTTGAGTCACCATCCCTGGGGGTATTTAAAAGACCTGTAGATGTGGTGCTTAGGGACAGGGTTTACTGGACTTGCCAGTGTTAGGTTAACAGTCGGATCTTAAAGGTCTTTTCCAACCGAAATTATTTTGTGTCTCTATGATAACTTCTTTTCTCTCTTCACACTTGCACTCAAAGGGTGCAGAAATGAGCAGAGATATGACTGTATGAAAACGGTGCGTTCTCACTCACTAGCTCCCTATATGTATCAATTGGATTTTCTCCTGATTTCAGCTGTAAGCAATATTTTTGTTGCAACTATTTTTTTTCTGCTAACACTGCAGAGCAGTTTGGTTATACACGAAAAGGAGTTTCAGGCAGGTCAATGCTTTAAAACCTGGATCAGAAACAAGAATTTTTTTTCTGCTAACACTGCAGATCAGTTTGGTGATACATGAAAAGGAGTTTCAGGCAGGCCAATGCTTTAAAACCTGGATCAGAAACAAGCAAGCACTTTTTATCATTAATTTCATCCCTGAGCACAGGTCTGGGAGATTATGGTAGGTTCTTTCCTACCTGGAACATCATTAAATGTTGGCATATACAAGAATCCAGTATGAGCTCCTAGAAGTTTTTTTGCAATCCAGTGTAACATCAGACTGCCTAAGGAGCAGAGGAGTAAGAAGGGGGAAAAGAGTGGTTTTACCTACGTACTTATTTCCAGTTAGATCATACTTTATTGCACAGTGATGTGCATCTATAGAGATGTTAAAGAGTGTAAGAATCAGACACTAAAATGATTCAAATGCTGGAGAATATGCCAAAAAGGACTTCAAAGAGCTCAATCTGTTTAGTTTATCAAAAAACGTTCAAGTGTTAGCTTGAAGCAGGGTAAAAGTCCTTCCACAAGGAAAAAAAACTGGTTACAGAAGAGTTTAATAAGCTAGCAGAGGAAGATTTAAATGATGGAAGCTAATGCTAGAGGTATTCAGACAGGAGACAAGGTTTCATCTTTTAATGGTATAGGGGAATAATCATGAGAAAAATTATTAAGGAAGTGATGAAATGTTAATTTCCTGATAACTCCAAAGGAAGTCTGGCCACCTTCATGGAAGAAATATTTTAGCCAAATTGTAGTTACTGAGCTCAAGACGGGGGGGAACTGTACGAAACAAGAGGGCCCAAGAAATCCAGGAAACCAGACTACATGATGTAATGTCCGACTTTGGATTAAATTCTATGAATCATGAACAGAAATTTAAAATTCATTCTGAGGGAGGAATATGCTCTTGGTGATACATGAGCCAAAACCCCCTCAGTTACGCTAGCAGATCCCCGATGAAGTATACAGCGTGGGAGGTTAGGAAATGCATCTGGTTATTTATAAATTGAGTGCATCGCTTCAGTTTCCAAAATATCAAGCTAACCTCATCTCTGCCAGGCTTAGCAGAAAAGCCAGGGCATGGCTACTAAGGTCTCTCCTGTGGAGCATACCGGCCACACAGAAACCTGCACTGACACTCAGTTTGCTCTGGGGTTAAACTGAAGCCTTCTGGTGCAGAAAAAGAATGATTTGGTAACTTTCACTAAGAAATTAATACACATTTTTTGTTTAAAAATGACTGATTTGGCAAAGTAACAATACTTGAACTACTTATACGCTTTAAACAACATACTTTAGAACTTTCAGTTTTTACGTAACATATTAGGTTTTATATCTATGTATTCATAACAAAGGCTGTATGTGTGTCTGATATACACATACTTCTAAACAAAATCTTCAAGTTCTTATTCCATTACTCATGATCTACACGGGCAAAAACATAAGTTAAATTTTTCTGCGACTTGAGAATTTGGGAACTGAATCAGAGAACTTCCCTTAGGATTCGAGAATATTCAAAATCTGACCAGACAAGATCCTGAGCAAATGCTCTAATTGACTCTCGCTTGATGGGTTGGACTAGATGATCTTCAGAAGTCCCTTCCACCCTCACCAATTCAGTCATTCTATGAATTTGACCCATTCACCCAGAACTTGCCTTGTCATTCATGAGTTGATGGTTCAGTGGAGTCCATGTGCTCATCTTGGTCTGTAGCTTGGAGCCATCCATGTTTCTAGGAGGTGCAAATGCCATAGATATGGGAGATGGGGGGGGTCCTCTGATGTCTTGTCAGCACCAATGGCTACAAGAATTGAACATAACAAAGAACAACATTATCATAGAATCATAGAATCATGGAATGGTTTGGGTTGGTAGGGACCTTCAAGATCATCGAGTTCCACCCCCCTGCCATGGGCAGGGACACCTCCCACCAGCCCAGGTTGCTCAAAGCCTCAATCAAAGCCTTATCTCTGTGTTACTCCATTACTGCATGTTAGTGAAAAGCAAATAATTTTAAGAAGGAATCCAATGATTCATAGCATAGCAATTATTTGAAAGTCAGTTAGGATAAAGCTTTTTATTTTATGTACCCACAGTAACCGTGACAATGAAGGGCAGATTTCCTGATGGAAACTCTGTGCACTAATGTCCTATAAATAAATAATAATTAAGGAGGTCTTCCTCATCATATATGTTATTGAATATGCCTTTGGTTTTTCCTGCATGAATGATCACAACAGGGTATTTGCAGTGAGCCAGAATGTACATGAAATTTCTCTTTCCAGTTGTTCGCACTGAAAATTGCAGATAACTTGTGCATCTACTTCAGTGACCCTAGGCAGGTTTTTACTGATTTTGATGGGCATATAATGCCAGGTCTCAAAGGGCCAATTTGTTTCTGTAACACTTAACTGAAAGAATGAAATCCAGAATGCTTCAGAATTGGCTGAAATCTCTCAGGGTCCCTTGTTCGGGCAGATTGGTTTTGACGTTTGGACTGACTGTGCTGCTCCTTTAAACAAAAATTTCTATGTGAAGCAAATTGCACATTTAACAAAATTTTCCCTTCCCTTTTGTGACACCAAATAACCGGACCACATTCAGACAAAGACACTTCTTCATAAATTTTTGCCCAAACATAGGAAAAGCTTTTTTTCCCTTCATCTTCTATCCTGCAGCTGGATTCAGCAGG